GTTATGTATAATCCATGAATAGGTAAACGCCTTTGACTGCTAATAGAAAACTACATTCATACCATCACGCCATATATTCCCGAAGGGAAAGGCAGAGGTTCACATTACGGCACTTACGCCGCTGTACAATGTAACACTCCCTTTTCAATATTTGTGTTATGAGTCCCACGCTATAGGGGGTCAGCCTATTGCCATATACCGAGCACAATTCTAGACTCCGCGCTACTACTGAAAAAGCATTTAAAAAACCCCAGCAATACTTTGCCTGACCCAGGAATCGAATCTGAGACCCTTTACTCGGCAGTCCCACTTGCGATCACTCGGCACCAGTAACCGACGTGGCGAATAACGGGTTAGCAACTTTACAGCATGTCTGCAGGAAGAGGAAGATATATTTATCTGCCTTGCTATGCAGCATGTACATATTATACATACAAATATTACAACGTAATGACATAAGGTAATAACTGATTTGAAACGCTGCCTCCTCACAACCGAGCCGTCGCGAAGGACACTCCGGGCGTCGGGGATCGCGGGATGATCTCCGGCCACCGTAAGCGCAGGCCCGCAGACGGCGAGCATGGGTGGCTCGCCGCTCGACCAGAACGCGCGCGCCTCAAAGAGCCATCAGACTACCACGGATGGGCCCCAATAGGGCTAATGCCGATACGGAGCCTCGGAGGACTTAACAGGTTGCCAGGGCTCTGACTCGAACAGGAATAGGAACGGGGTGATTTTTATTCAGTAAGAGTCTGACAATCCCTCCCGCCTCAGCCGGGCGGGCGAAGTCATTCGATGATTTTTCTCATTAAAAAAAGTCATACAAGAGACTCCAAAGCGCATTACCTCATGTTAAGCTATGAAACATTTTCATCGTTTGTAAGTAAATGCACGCTCTTTGTAAACGTAGTATTATATAGTAGCTGAAATGGATCAGTTTCTAGAAATATGCATCTTCTCAATTATTCATATTATTATAAAGGAAGCCCTATGAAATTGCAAAACACATCATTACTATAGAGATTTTCCTACTAGAAATTGCTCCATAAAGCTTAAAATTATTTTTTACGTATGCATCAACTACTTAATTTAGTTAATAGGTGTGGCAGAAGAAGCATGAAAGCAGGATTAATGCGGTGGAAATGAGAGACCTGAGAAGTATGTGTGGACTATAATTGAGTGATCGAGTGAAAAATAGTGTTATTAGAATAAGGTGTGGATTGAAAGATGATGTAGCGACAAGGATTGAAAAGGGAACGTTACGCTGGTTTGGAAATGTGGAAAGGATGGATGAAAGTAGAGTAACGAAAGAAGTATACAGAGCGGATATGAATGGGGCCGTCGGTAGAGGGCGCCCTAGACGGACATATAGTGACCAGATTGGCGATATATTAAAGAAGGGCCAAATTAAAAGTACCCTTAACCGACGAGCATGCATGAAAAGATTGATGACTGTTAATGAAGCGAAAGAGTCTCCTTAGTCTCTGCCTACCCCCATGGGAGACAGGCGTGAAGTTATGTATGTATGTATGTATAAAATAAAATGTATTCATGCGGTGTGACACCGTAAGTATATGATATATGCATTTTATTGAATGACCAAACTAACAATGAGATGCGGTTTGACGAGGAACTCGACTAGTTTCAAGCATCGAATGACTTCTCCCGCCTGAGTGAAGCGGGGTTACTCTTACTGACTAAAATCCACACCGTTTCCACTCCTGTACTATGCTTAGCTCTATTCCGTTCAAGCTACGCTTGAGACTCATACTGACGTGTTCGCCGTCATCAACTGGGAACATGTGGCGATATTCGTGGGATACTTGAACATGGTGCACGGCAGCATTCCGTTCACTACTCAGTTAAATATGGGTTTTCCTAGACTGAATAATGAACAAGAGAATTACGAGTCAGTTGTTTTTTTTATGAATTAATTAATATCCTTGATCAGTCTGCAGATTACAGATATAATTATACCTATAAATAGAAATAGACAAATGGATTTCCCACGATTAAAAAAAACCTATTTGATATCTGTTTTTCATAAATTATTCATGTTTGAAGCTTAGATTTAAAAACTTATATGTGTATTAAAACATTAAACCAAATTAGGAGCAAGATTGGTTTTATCTGTAGTTTTCCTTAACTCGTTTTCAACACCTGAGTTCAAGCATTCGCAATAAGCTCCTGCAGCCCCAGCTCGGGACAGGGCTTGGAACGTGGTGGTTTTTAGTCAGTAAGAGTCTGACACTCCCTTTTACCTCGTCCAGTGCGCAAGAAGTAATTTGATGATTTTCCTCCATCAATTCATAAAAAAAATGTAATTCTTAACACTACAACTAAATAATGGTAGTCCCACTCTATTTAGGTGTAAAGTCTTCATCAATACAAATTAATCAAGCCCAAACACAAGGTAGTTAATATAAACCGCTGAGAAGTTCTCTCGACTGTCTGTCGGCTCCATCATCAGGTCGACTTCAGGCCCTTAACAAATTGTAGTGTTTAAAAATCCTAATTGAAATACATAATAGACGCATTACTAGCTCTAGCTATTATTTTAGAAAGTTTTCCTCGATTTCCCTAGGATCCCATCATCAGATCCTTACTTCATGGAAATGGGACCATCTCGGGAATATACCCTTACAAATAAAATAAGAATTTTGGAAATCAGTTTACAAACGGTAGAGTAATGCGCGAACTAACAAAAAAAAAAAAAATAATCAGCTGAACATAGCACCTCCTTCTTTTTTTGAAGTCGGTAATAACTATAAATACTCTAAACGATACATCGAACACGATACCCACATAGTAAAATACACAAGCCCACAGCCATTGAAAAACCACACAATAGATAACTCCGCAATGTACACAAGAATGACCTTGGGACGCTTTACAAAGGCCGATGACCTTGAAACTTTAGTTTTAAATTTACCCCGAGGGCACAGACTGGCTTGTATTTATAAGTACTTTTGAAAGGGGTATTTTGTTAAAGAATGCCTTAAGATTATATAGAGCCCTTTTATCAAGCTATAAGTACATTGCCTATTGATCCCCCAATTGTCCTTTTGTAGTATTAACTTGAGGTAAAATAAACTTTCAATACAATTCGTAGTTTTCGTTGCACCCTCGAGTGGAAATTTAAATGTGAATTTCATTTTCGACTGTGTGTGTTTAGCTTAAGCCTTTGTATTTGCGCTTTGTATATTTTAATTTTTTTTTCTTTCGAAAATTAATATTAGCTTTATTTACTTATTAGGTTTATTGAATTTTACGGTCACAATAAATTATGAGTGAATTTGAGCTGATTCAGAAATAACCCCGAAAACAATTCAAATGCGAAAAACCACTTTAATACTACCTTTATAGGATAACTAACATAACTATTAAAGTCATAGACAATTTAATCTGATATTAGCGAAATAAATATAAAAAAGACCATTATCAAATTAACAACAATTCCACAATTATTCAAGAAATTTCATTACCTCTCTAATAGCGTACTTTTGACCTTGGGAATACCGTGATAATGACCTTTGACCTTTGACAGTTGTCTGCCACGTAATTGTTTGTATTAATAAATGGTTCCGTATTTAATGTGGACAATGGATGGCGAACAGGGGTTACCAAGGATCACTTCAAAGTTCAGATCCAAACTTTGTCTATTGAAACATTTGAGGGGTTTCGTTATACGGAAATGTTCCTAATAATGTCTATAAAGGTATGAATGTATTATTGACGGTTTAGTTATTACCTATTACACATTCAAAGAAATTTTCCGGAATTTACGATGCAAAATTTAAAGAAACTGTTTCAATGAATATATCATTCTTCTTTATTGCTGCTAGTGCAGCCCGTCCCGGCTTCGCACGGGGTAGACAATTATTTATTTTTGGAAATTTGGATTGTTGTAGTGACATAACTACAATAGTTGGACATATGCTACCGTGGAGTTTTTTGTAGACATTATGATGTTCTTCATTAGTGTTATACATTATTTTGTTCTATCGCTAATAGTTTCGGCAGCGCATTCGACGAAAGACATTTTAAGACTCATTTTTCTACACCTTCGGTTACATTGTTAAAAATTTATCATTAATTGTAGTTTATGTCAAATTGGAATAATGTAGCATTCTATTGGTGAAAGAATTTTTTAAATCGGCCCAGTACTTTTTGAGCCTATTCATTACAAACATACAAAAATAGGTACAAATCTTTCCTCTTTATAATATTAGTATAGATTGATCTAAATTAAAGCATTTAAAAATAATCATTACATGTGCACATTAGGATCCAAATACGTTAGGGCTGAGAAATGTCTCCTAAAGTAATTAGAGTGCCTACAATAATGTCCCGCTTTATTTGTTACAGGGGTATGCTTGATAGAGAAAGTGAGTAAGAGAGAAACTACCGCTCTTACAGTGAAGTCAAATGGAAAGAAAGCCTATGGATTGTATCAAGTAAGATTTCCAATACCGAAATTTTGATGCTAAAGAGAACTTGAGATCTCATGTTTGGCAGTTTCATTTACACTAGCTAAATCAAATGGTTTTTTTATATTTGACTGGCCGACGTTGGCCACTAACTCGCCTGAGGGTAATGTGATGCGGGCTACGATGGAGCACGACATCTAGGTTAGGTTACCCTTCAGGAAATCAGCCTCTAGCAAAAAATTCCACTCCTTAGTAGTACACACAAGGAAGCTTGATGCGAAGCGCTTCGTGCGTGTGAGTGCGACATGTACCATGAATCAGTGATGAATGCAATTACGAGAATTCAAGAATTCAAGAAAACCGATTGCCGATGACGCAATTTTGATGCTAAAGACAATTTGAGATTTCATATTTGGAAGTTTAATTTACACTAGCTCAATCAAGTGGTGTTTTGAGAGATTATTTTTATAAGAATGAATTTTTTCAGATACCCAGTGAGTGGTGTAAAGAAGGCAAACGCGGTGGCCGCTGTAACATAAAATGTGAAGGTGAGTTAAAAATTTACATCCTAAACTCAATAATCAATCATAAAATAAATTACTCATACGAAAGGCATCACAAGGGGCACCTATATCATAAACTGCCTTTAGCTTGAACGCACCAGAATCCAGTTTGAATCCGAATACAACCGCAAATGGAAAGTTGGACAATAATAAAAAATGACAAATTAAAGTCTGTGAAGTTATAATATTTAACCAAATCTTAAACAGTATTGACACCAAATTAGTGGAAAACAATGTTACATCAGCAAATTCGTCTTAAAAAATCTTATTTTTCTTTCTTTTTTAAAAAAAAACGTTACTCTACGCTACAATTTTTCCCTGTGTCGTCGGTCGGTCGTTTAAAACATACAAGTTCGCACACATGATACCTAGATCCGGGCAACAATTTGTAGATCACACAATGAGTTGTTCCAGAATTTTTATTTTTATTTATGAAGGTTGAATTATTTGCAACAATAAATTTATATACAAAGTAAATAATCATGTAACTCTAGACTGCAGTGTAACAAATTGTCAACGATGTAGCAAACAATTCTAAGCTCCTACAATTTATAGAGCACGTTCGACATCAAAACTTTATGGACGTCGGTCAAAGCATTGTTTGTCGTTTTGGTTATGATCTCTTACATTTGTGAAGTACTACCAAAATGATATTTCTAAACAGACGACTCGCACTTCAACTAGAATCCAACTGCAAATAGCAGTCTGGATGCAGTTTGAACACAGTTAAAACGACTGCAATAGAACTGCAATCGGATTGCTCGTTTGGTTTGCAACCGTTTGGTCATGGCTGCAATAGAACTGCAATTGGACTGCACATTTGGTTTGCAGTCGTGACACGATAACATTCAACCCGCAGCCGAACTGCAATTTGCGGTTGAATTGCAATGGAAATGGCGACCATCAGACCCTAAGCCATACATATTGGTAAATAAACACTTCTTCTAAATTTAAGGAACTCTTAAGCTAAGATAGGTGATATTTCACATCATTTTGTCAGCTTATAAGTGATACCTAAGTCACGTCATGCGTCACCACTTAGTTAAGAAATAGTTTAGGGGTTCTATGTGAAAACGGCCATTAGTTTCATTTCAAAATTGTTTAATTCATATTTACAGTAATTTCTAGCTTCAAAGACCAATCTTTTTTCTAATTTTTCTATTAACAGAAAGGTCAAGAGAGCAAATAATTTGAAAGAAAGAAAGAGAAAGAAAAAACATTTATTTGGCAATTACACGCACAGAAAACAAAGAATATAAAAAAATAAAAATACATAATATAAGTAAACAAAATACTAATAATAAACTTACAAGAATACAGATCAGAACAGAAAACATCACAATATAACAAAATAATAAAACGATAATAATAGAATTTTTAATAGACAGTCTATCTATCAGTCTATCAATTTAGTCTTCATCTTTATGAAATTCAAGTACACTTTAACGTTTTCATATTTCTGATTTCAAGAACTTGAATTTGTTGACCTACTTATGTTTAATAGGTATATTTTCTGCCTTCTAGTTTACTAATGTTAGGTACTTAATTTTTGAGGAGATATCTGCCTACATTTAATTAGATTGACATCTACATTTTAATAACTAATTTATTTATAAGCTTATCGACATTACTTTACCACTAGCCAGTGCAATCTGATTGAAAAGTCAATGGAAATAAGAAATAGAACAAACACTGTGTTATTCCCGGACTTGAAGAAAAAGGAAGAAGAAAATTTATTGAGAAGATTATGAAGAAGGTTTTATACAAATATTAGTACCTAATTGATATAAAACCTTCATAACCCATTTACTTATTTCTAAAATTAAATTCCATTTAAAGACTTCCTCAACCTTTGCATAATTACATTTAAATAACTAGAAGGAATTTCTGCTTTTTATCTAAAAATACACGACAGATAATACACCCTAACACAATTTTTGAACTCTAGACAACAGCTCATATGTTATATTATTGTCTCCTCCTTTTAAAATAACTCGGTAACGAAAATTTCCTTTGTTCTCATAAGAGGAGGACGGCAACAAAAGCTTAAGTACCTATTTGTATTATGTAGGTAATTTCACCAACATAAAGACGAAATGGTCTTATTTTTTAGAGGTTGGCACTTCTTCAAAATACGGCCAGGGGATCTCGCTTATCGTGATGTTATAAATCAAAGTGGTGTCGCAAAACAAACTCTGATACTCGAAAGTTTCGATTTATATCGAGTATGTGAGTGATATCGAAATCCTATGGTAGGTCCCGCGTTATCTTTGTACCACTCGAGTGGAAATATTAAAGTAGGAAAGTATAAATCAGGATTCTGTAGTGGCGGGAAGTTAAGCAACATTTTTACGAGCATTACTCTACTTTATTTGATTTCGTAAGCTTTCGGATTTCTATTATTAAGATTTTGTTACTAAATGTTTTTGTAACATTGTGGTTGAGTGTATGAATATTTTTGCGTAGAAATTGCGTGATTGAAAAATTGGAAAGACGTCAAATGTTGCTCGGTTTACTTTGAAGGTCAGGGTCAAGTAGATTTCGAATAACAATTTGGCTGTATGTGAATTTGTTATGCTAAGAAGGGCTATATTTTGGAAAGTTCTTGAATACATATTCATTTTACTATTATTTATTAGAGTACTGGTTTTTTTATCAGTGACCTCGCAGACAATTTTATAAGATTTGTTTAAAGCCTTACCTAGAGTAAAGCCAAATATTTGGTCCTGTTCCGTGAATAGTACTTTAAACCTCAAGTCAAGGGAAATATGAAATTTATAATTAGCCCGCTTTCGTTCGAACGTATGCCTATTCAATAGTACACCACTGAGTTCGGTATTCCGCTTTTTGCATCAGTCACTGCCAATCACCTTTAAATATCTGTATGTTATGAATCCTCGGGTTCAACATTCCATACTCACATATTTTTCATGGCATAAGCCGGTAAACGAGCAGACGGGTCACCTGATGGTAAGCAATAGGCGCCGCCCAGGGACATTCGGAACACCAAGGCGTTCCAAGTGCGTTACCAGAATTTTGGGAGTTGGAAATTTGAGGATTGTGGGAGATTCGGAGATTGGGCTGATTGGGGAGGGGGTAATTGGGCCTCCGGTAAACTCACTCATACGACGAAACACAATGCAAGCGTTGTTTCTCGTCGGTTTTCTGTGAGGCTGTGGTATCACTCTGGTCGAGCCGGCCTATTTGTGCCGAAGCATGGCTTTCCCACACTTAGGTACAGAAAAAAACATCACCTATTTACCTTTGTCCAAAAATCCGTAACACCCATTTAACAAAATCGGTCAAAACACTGATTATGATGAAATACTCGGTAATGGCACTCGGGCAATACATTATTTCAATTTATCTGTTTACGAAGTAAATTAATGAATCTCATTAGTTTATCTCGCGTTCCACACGCGCGTGTATAGATTGATAGATTTATCAAGTTTCCATTGTATAGGTATTGGTAATGATAACTGAACGCGTTGCTATTTTAAGTAATAATTTTGTTGATAGTTTGCCGTATTTTCTGCTCAATAGTTTTGATTTCGGTTTGGTTTTAGTTTGATAATAATTTAAGTATTGCGTATCATAGCTAGCTTGTTTCAAACCTCTTTGTAGAGATATTGGTATATAAATTAATTAGTATATCATGACTGCTTCGTTGGCCGAGTGGTCGCAAGTGCGACTGCCGGGCAAGGGGTCTCGGGTTCGATTCTCGGGTCTAGCAAAGTATTACTGGTTTTTTTAATTCTCAGTAATGGCACGAAGCTTGGAATTGTGCGCGGTATAAGGCAATAGGCTCACCCCCTATTACATGGAACTTATAATATAAATAGTGAAAAATGGGTGTTACATTGTGCAGTGGTATGAGTGCCGTAATGTGCCCCTGTACTTATGTACACCTTCGCGTATAAAAGGCATAATATTATGGTAGTACATGTTTAGTGCTAGCAGGACTGCCATGTAAAAGCAGCTTTCCGTGATCTCCATATTTGGGGATCGGGTTTAAGATCACAGTTTAAAAGGTTCAAGTGTATTATTAGAGAGTTCTGCTTCCTGGTCTCTGCTTAATCACTTGATATAAATCCCTAAAATTTGTTAAAACAAAACTAGTCTCTAAACATCAGAAATAAAGTCTATTTATGGAGTTAGTGGATAGCGGTTACCGGTGTCCGCTTGGCAATTTATCAGTAAACTATAGTCCACAAAACGTGGTAACAAGAATAGTTAAGTAATTAAATGTTACTCTTTTGTTTCACACACAGATCTGCTAAACGATGACATCCGTGATGACACAGCGTGTGCTCTGAAGATCATGGAGGAGCATGGTTTCCAGTACTGGTCGCTTTGGACTACGAGGTGCAAAAATGACAACTTCATCACTAATGAGATTTATAAGTAAGTTTTCAAATGTTTTCTTAATGGTGTTTTATCATTGTGTATTTTTTATGGTATCCGAGGCAAACAAGAAGACGGATCACCTGATGGTAAGCGATCAGCGCCGCCCTTGGACACCGACAATACCAGAGGAGTCACAGGTGCGTTCCCAGCCGTTTAAAAAGGAATACGCTCATTCCATGTGCATGTGCTGTCGTGAGGGTCGATGGCGAAAAGATGCGGCAGGTGTCAGGTCAAACAATACCTTAGAGCACTCCCCATGGTACAAGCGATATAAATGCACAACGATTGTGTATGACGTTGAAGTTGTTTGTTTTGGAGAACGTGAGCCCAAGCCCCTACTTCGTTTATGTGTGAGATATGTGCATACCTATTAATACTGGCCACTCTCTAAGTTGTGAAGCAAGAATTTTTATTCAGTTTAACACGTTAACGGCCGCGTAGGTCACCGGTGACCTTCGTTAACGGAACATTTGCCTTCACCAGATTTCTGTAGGCAGTCTAAGACCTTAAGTAATGAGTAAGAATATACGCTTATTAGGTTTAATTCTGACATAAAATACACAAGTATCTTACAAATAGAAACTTTTTATTTTAATCTCTAGTATGAAACCTATGTTTCTCGGTGCAGGTAAAATAATAAAGTTTGCATCCAACATGTGCAACGGAACTGTATGTTTGTCTTTTCCAAAATACAACACACAGATATTATTTATGTTTACATCAGCACTACCAAATCTTATAACATCACCTCATAACAGTCACTTAAGCTCCGGTGATAATATAAATAGTTCGTACAACATTATTTCTGTTTCTACCCGTAAGAGAGACCCTTCCTTGTTTGTTCAGGCCACGATTTAAAGGGCACTTTATTTCCATAAAAGGTTAAGCGTCCCTTTTTCTGAGCTTATGGAAATGTAATCTTAAAATCGGTTTCTAGCGATTTAGTTCCGATAAAATTATGGAAATTAACGTTTTGAAGTGTGGATTCGTCTTTTTGATGTAGTATTTAATTATCTATGTTTGGTTTCGTTTTTATTTTGTTTTCTTTATGTAGTGCAGAGATGAAAATAACAGGTGATTATAGGCATCTAATAATGGGTGATCTTTATTGTGCAAAAATATTAAGTACCTGCGTACATTATCTACTATATAAAAATAAGTCGGGCTTTCCTTCCTGACGCTACAACCCATGAACGCATAAATCGATTTCCACGGTTTTGCATTTGTTGGAAAGGTCTCAGGCTCCTTGAGGTTTATAGCAAAGAAAATTCACTAATCACCAAACAAAATGTTACATAAAACGAAGCCATCAGGTCGCGAAACGGAGTTCGCCGGGGTTGCTAGTCTATGTATAGATTTTACGAAGCTTAAACCCGACTTCACGACGTATTTGAGTCTTTATTCACAATTCACTTTTTGTAGTTTAACTAAATAATGGATTCTTGGCACCACACTTCAAAGAGTCACTGTGTCTATGAATATATGTGTGTACAAAATTATGTCACTAAGTCACTCATGATAACTCATTTACAGATGTCCAGACCTAAACCGTCTCAGTCCAGAACGCAGCCTATTTCTGAATCGAGGCTCAGCTCTAAGACGAAGACGTTCAATCAACAGGACTATCCGAAAATCCAGGTTCAGAAGATCTAGGCGTACAAATTAAATCAAATTAATTTGTTTGTTGATGTTTAAAATAAACTTGTTTCGAAGTCTGGCCCGTTGTTTACTTGGCACTTTACTGCGACTGACTGAATACTAAATACTAACAGGTAAAGGTGCCTGTGTGAGTTGATTGACAAAGTGACGGAATTTCTTGCTCGTTTATTCTTTGTAGGCGCTTGTACTTGAGACGATGAATAGCTAAATTCTTATGAAACTGTAGAGTGGCGTTGTTACAGGATTTTGAATTAAAATATCTACAAAGAGGTAAGTAATAAAATACCAATTATGTAATAAGTATCTGATATACGCACATGCGATACAGGAGAAAATCCTAGAGTGGGGAAAATTCATTGCCCCACACTAAAAACGCCATTGTATTTATTAAGATAAAAAAATCTTGACGGCTAGGAACTATCAGTTTTTTATAATTATTGTAATATGATTCATCGAGGTATTCCACGAAGCGCACCTAAACGAAGCGCACCCAGACTATGCGAGTGATATTCGTAGGTGCGCTTCGTGGAATAGGAAATTATTTATTTTAAATATTATATTTTAAGCGCACCTACAGGTGCGCTAAGTGGAATACTTTAGGTGCGCTTCGTCTGGGTGCGCTTCGTTTAGGTGCGCTTCGTGGAATACCTCGATACATCATGGTTTTCAATTATCATACATTATGTATGTACATATATTGTATTGTACAAAGTATGTAAGTACATATTATAATTATATTTATATGTATACCTCCGAAATATGTACAGTATATTTTCCTTTTTTTATTAAAATCATTGCTTGCTTCTTGCACCTACTGTTTAGTCTTCTCTGCATCGCTGAAAGGTCAGACTGGGAGAAAAAGCCCACGACATTAACTCCACCAATTGTACATCAAGTGCAGAAAGCATATTAACTCTTTCAGTCTTGGTGGTCACTGTAACTAACCACCTTTTCTTAGAAATTCAATTTTAAGTATGTTTCAAATTAGTTATCATTGGTTTTTTAGCATTTCAGTATAATTAAATAAAATATATTCGTATCCAGTTAAAAGTGTGACTGAAAGAGTTAAATAAATAAATAAATAAATCATACAAAATACCTATTGCGGAAACATTAATATGGAAAACGTAAGATTAACTCAATCCTTAAATTGACATTATATACACCAACATTCTCACTAGACTACCAAAAAAAGCCTCCAAATTTGAACCAAACACTAAACACATTCCAATGCCAGTTCCTAAACAAACTTCTATTTATCAAGAGGCCTCCTTTACTCTGTTATACGAGTACTCACAACTTCAGACCCGTCTACAACAAAACCTAGGAGCCTGGGTTAACAGGTTTACTTTTTAAACTATTCGTTTTGTTTTGCTGAGAAAATGTCAAATAGTTTATACACTGCTTTTGTTTTCGACGTATAAGTTTCAGTGAAATCTCTATGAAGAAAATATGCATTATCTATATCTATACTAATATTATAAAGAGGAAAGATTTGTACCTATTTTTTGTATGTTGTTTGTATATTTGTAATGAATAGGCTCAAAAAGTACTGGGCCGATTTAAACAATTCTTTCAACAATAGAATGCTACATTCTTCCAATTTGACATAGGCTACATTTCATTTTGAAAAAAATTAGGGATCCTTGGTAAAATTTGAACAATGTAACCGAAGGTGTAGAAAAATGAGTCCTAAAATGTCTTTCGTCGAATGCACTGCCGAAACCATTAGCGATAGAACAAAACAATGTACAACAATATTGAAGAACATCATAATGTCTAAAAAAATTCCGCGGTAGCATATGTACAACTATTGTAGTTATGTCACTACGACAATTCAAATTTCCAAAAATAAATAATTGTCTACCCCGTGCGAAGCCGGGACGGGCTGCTAGTCATTAATATTATGATACATTTTTCTAGTAGTAATGATATCGTGTTTCTGTAAAGTGAGATGATTCGCGTGTATTGTAACGTTACAGATCTGAGCATTACATCAGCATTACAATGCTCACCTTGTAATGAATGATACAATGTGTACTATCTTGATACAACTTGTAACATCAATGCGCTCCACTTGCCCTGCCTCCTCGCCTGCTTCGTCTGACATCTTGCTATGAAATGCTCAAATCAATCGAATCAATATGTTACATTACACGCACATGCTCGTTAGTCAGGGAGGTATTATTGTAATGTAATGCTCAAAGTCAAATCTATAATGTTACATTACATTTGGATGCTCCCGGTGAGGTAGCACCTTAATGTTTAAATTTTTATTTTTCTACGGATTTTGTTCAAGGTTTTGTAAAGGTTCAATTTTATATTCAGTTCCTAAGCTTGTTAAGGTATATTTTTGATTTCATTTTTGTTATTAATAGTATTAGACGTCACGATTGGTGCGGTGGCTGGACAATCGGTTGCGGCGCAACGTGTCAAGGCGCGATTTAGATTCACGCATAGAGCAGCTCTTTGTGTGATCCACAAATTGTTGTTTCGGGTCTGGGTGTCATGTGTATTGAACTTGTATGTTTGTAAACGCACCTACGACACAGGAGAAAAGCCTAGCGTGAAGCAACGTTATAAAAAAATGTTGCAAAGTATGATAGAAGTGATTCATTAATATGAGATTCATAAATTAACCAAAAATGTCTACCTATATCTACCCTTCAAAGAAGAACAGACGTTGATTTCCAAAAAGTCACCGCGTAAACGCTTACAAGAGATTTTCCATTAAACCCGCTTATTACATTATTTAAGATCAAATTTATCCCCTTCTTTACTGCACTGATGACACAAACAATTTGATGAAGGACCCAAATCATAAAACGTTGGTTACATAACAATTATCGTTTATCGTTTCGTCCCCATCAAACTATAAAACTGCTACACAAATTCCACCTTTAACACCTGCACATAAAGTGTAAAACAGCACACGTATAAATCTTTAATTTGTTGTTTGTATCTATAGGCCTATTGTCTCCCAAGCGGCGAGTAAACGGATTAACTCCCCTTTATTTTACGTCTTTATCTTTAATAGGCTGTTAAAAAGAGAAGAAAGAATGGATAACAAAGACGTTCCCTTTTATAATCCTTGTAATTATCGCTATAAAATTTGAATGCAGAAGGTACGGAACACACAGATGTGAACGTTATTCGCTCCAGCGCTCTCTTGTGCAATCCAAAGGAAATTTCAACGTTATTCTAGATAACGCTTTTGAAACAGGTTATTTAAATAACGTTTATACGTTTATTCTAATTGTACAGCTGTTGAAAGGATCTCCTTGTGTCGCGTGAACGTTCTGATTTTGAAATTGAAATAAACGGTTTTTATGTATGTGTGTGTGTCTGTGTTTAATTAAATGTTGTCACGTTGTCCAGTCGTTTTGTTTTTAATTTCGTTTTATTTATTGCTTTGTAGACCTACGTCTGATATTGTTACCGATACAATTTAGGGCTGATTTTTCAATGCTCAGATAAATATTAACAGATGAATGAATAACTTTCAATATTTGACAATTCTTCCGTACTAAAAACTGTCAAATTTTAATGTAAATCTTATTCCACAGTTAAGAATTACCTGATGATTGAAAAATCGCTTAGGAGCTATTTTTTCTGGTGATATTTTATATGAATTGTATGTAGTAGGAGACCAGAAGAATTCTAGTCCCAGTGAAATTACTATGAGACTAGCAACCCGCCCCGCGCGGGTGCAATATGCACGTATTATACATATAAACCTTCCTTAAGAATCACTCCATCAAAAAACCGCATCAAAATCTGTTGCGTAGTTTTAAAGATCTGTGCATACATAGGAACAGACAGACGGCGGATAGCGACTTTGTTTTATACTATGTAGTGATGGTAATTAATTCCTAAACACATAACTCCTCGTGGTTCTGATTAATATATAACTGACGCCCGAATACGGAAAGGTTACTCGATTTTAAGTCGTACTTAAATATCGTGCCATCTCTGTCATTTTACAAAGAATATGTAGAGACAGAACTATACTTAAGCGCGATACACTTAAGCGCTTTCAGTGTCGCAGAGAACCTAACGGGTAACTGGTGCTTCGGCTTGACGTGCAGGAGAAGGATCGGGGTGGTTTTAAGTCAGTAAAAGTCTGACACTCCCTCCTGCCTCACCCAGGCGGGAGCAGTCATTCAATGATTTTCCCCCCTTAAAAAAAAAGCACTTTCAGTATTCGGGCGAAAGTAAACGAAATTGTACTCAAAGATAATCAATGGCTAATAAATGAAAAAGAATGAAAAGAATAATTAAAGTACTTGGAGAAACTGACTATAACTCTTTATTATCTAGCTTATCTAGGAAAGCTTCTACTTTCAGGAGATTCTGGCATGAAGACACAATTGATTTTCCTTTTCGAAAACCGTTAGATTTATTCCTTATCCTGTCCTTGTAAGATCCTGTCCAGATTTTTATTTTTCGAAATTAAATTCTATATGTGTATAATCAAGGTATACCAACAACAAGTCGCGGAGATCCTAACGGGTTACCGTTGTTCCGGCTCGAAGTGTAGGAGAAGGAACGGGGTGGTTTTTAGTCAGTAAGAGCCTGACACTCCCTCCCGCCACACCCAGGCGGGAGCAGTAATTCGATGATTTTCCCCCTTTAAAAAAATACCAACAACAAATAAAATATGAACTAACGAAACATTTTGATGGACAACACCTAACGTATTTTTAATCGACTACAAAATGAAATAAGTAGGATCTCAGTGTGACTTGTATGCATGTATTTTTGTTTTTACTTTGTTATCTCGCGATTAACTGAATCGATTTTGATGCGGTTTTCGGAAAAGTGTTTGTTACGCTTAAGATAAGATTTTAGTATATTAATTCGACGACTTCAAAAAAGAGGGATTTTTTTAGGGGAGAAAATCATTCAATGGCCTTTCCTGCCCGAGAGAATTGAAGAGGAAGTTGAAGTCAGTTTTTGAAGCGTAATTTATAAAATAATCATTATGTAATTATGTAATGGGTCAACGTTTGGCTATCTCGCCTGGTGGTAACCGATGATGCGGCTTACAATGGAGCC